AGTTGCAAAACCACCTTCACCTATCTTTTCAATATTTGTTAAACCATTATAAGGAATCCATTGAAGATATTTACTATTATCATACTTAATTGCTTTAAGTTGTGTGCTTTTAATCAACTCATCTAATGCTTCATTGCCACTAGTCCATCCTTCAGTTAATAGCTTTGGATTACATGAGTTACACCATGAATAATTAGTATTATATCTATTGCAAGTTGGACATTTTCCATAACATCCTTTTCTTTCCTTTGAATATTCATCATCATCATTTTTGTCAGTAGAAGTATCCATCTTTGTTTTTTTAATAATTTGCCAAAAAAAAAAAATTTTTTTTCTAAAAAGAACTCAACTATATTAGCATTTAAATATTGGTCGATTTTATGATTTGTGCACTGAATTACGCAATTCGGCATTACGTAACAAATTTGCCGCGATATCCCAAAGTTATGTAATTATTTATGGCAATAGATATTAATATTCATTTTGTTTTATCCGAATTATTCAAATTATTCATTTTATTCATTTTATTCATTTATTCGAATTATTCATTTTATTTGTTTATTCAAATAGAAACTCAAAGTTGAGCATGCTAGAGTAAAATTTGAATTTTCAAGTTCGAGCTGAGTTCAAGAAAATAGGCCCTTAAATTGTTTTTTAGATAATATAAAAAGATTGCATACCCAAGATCTCTTGGATCAAAAAATTAATATAAAAGACAACAAGCATGCGAATCGAACTTCAGACAAGGGATAAATTACCAACCTCACTCATAGTTTCGAGAAGAACACCCTCATCGAAGCAATATGAAATATTTTTAACATTATGAATTAAATATATTACTTACTGTATTTAATTAAAAATATTTAATTAATTTATCCAGCAAAATATAGAGTTGTTACACAATCATCAATTGCTTTTTTTCGTCATTAACGAATTCCCCTTCTTTTTCAATATTAAAATCATCATTACCGCACTTCAAGTAAAGAAGACTTGTATATTTGAGTTTTCTTTTTTCCGTGAAAACATCTAAAAGTATGAAAATGGAAAAGAATTCCCTATATAATAATAACTGAACGGGAACAATTTTGAATATCACAGTATCGCGAATTTAAAAGTTGAGGGTGGTCAATCGTTAGATAAACTGACCAAGTTGTATGCTAATAACATTTATTAATATTAATATTAACAAATTAATAATCATAAGTTATATGAAAGTTTTTTAAAAGTCATTAATATAATAATAAATAAAAAATTAAACGGAATGTGCGTAATTGTGATGGTTATCACAAATCATCTACTAGACTGGGTTTGAATTACACGTCAAGCTCTCCGGCTCCAGTTCGAGAGTTTACATAGCAGTCGTCGTCGTCGTCATATGAATTACTATATTAATACGAAATTTCTCGTCTTATTTTAATATAAATTAAGATGCATAAAGTACCTCTCGATCTTAATAATCTATCAAGAAGTCATGACTGGATTATCGAATGATTATTTAATGGCTATGTATAAATTAGTAATGCTTGAACCTGATAATGCATTATTAATTAAGGTTCAGCCAGTTAATCTTAACGATGGTCTCTAAAAAAAGTCATTCCTATGAAGTTTATTAGTATTGATTATTTACAAAGATTCAACACATAATATTCATTCTACTCGGGGAATGAAGTTCTCCTTGAAATTGAATTGTTAAAAATTAAGGATTAATTTAAAAAAGCAAATTTAGTAATAGAGTTTTTAATGATGATTGTAATCTATATTATATATATCTTAAATGTAAAGACTATAAAGAAGAAAACATTTTTATATAATTAATAAGTCATCTTAATTTTCTCCAAGGTTTCCTGGAGCGTTTCTAACAATTCATTAAATCTTCTTATTTTACCCAAATAACCTTGTTCGTGACTAGAATCTAATAATTCATCGCCGCTACGTAATATTATATTTGTAATGATACCCACAAGCCTACCCTAAATAAAATATGGAAATAAAGAAGTTAGACTGATTATTATCATAATTGTATGTTTCTTCCAAAGCTTACCACATTTAGGTCATTGCGGTTACTATCTTCCGCATTAGCGACATTTATCACAACTATAGTAGCTGAATAAATAAAATAAAATAATAAAATAATTTAAAATGACAAGACTTAACTTATTCAAATAATTCATATGGTATAGCTAATTCAATTTGTGTAGAATCTACAATAGTTAATTCAATTTGTTTAGAATCTGCAAAATATTTATCACAAGAGTGGATATCAATAAATAAAATTTTAAAAATTAATAAAAAACAAAAATAATCAATCAATGATTAAATGTTAATAATTACCATTATTATTACCAATAATTGTCACTTTATTGGAATTCACAGGTTGGGGAAGGTTTGTAAATTTTAATAATCTGCTAGTGTAAATAGCATTTGGATGAAATGGAATAATTGTTGATGGATCAAATTTTATTTCATTCATTTTCTTAAATTTTTCAAGTGAACTATACCAAGAATCAACAATCTTAAAAGCTCCTTCAGCAGTTGGACGTTTATTTGGATTAGCATCCATGCATCTGAATGCTAGTTCGATATAGGGTTTTGGTGTGTTGTTTGAAAATCCAGGTCTTACACCTTCACATATTTTCATTGCAAGATATACATCATGTGCCAAATTATTAAAAGGTTGTTGACCAGTTGATATTACAGACATCAGAACTCCAAAACTATATATATCTGATGCCATTGTATATGGCTTCTCCCTTAAAACTTCCGGTGCAACATATGGTAGTACTCCAAATATACCACTTTTGTTTGATGTTTGACTAACTGGACGTGATAATCCTAAGTCAGCAATAAATGAATTCCATTTATTCCTTTAAAGAATATTACCACTATGGAAATCATGATGAATAATTTTTTCTTTATGAATATCTTTTAACCCAGTAATAATTTGATGGAGAATATCAATTTTGTCCTCCCATTTTAAATTTTTAAAATCTTTAGTTAAATATCTTGAAGACTTCCATCTTCTATATGACTCATTACAAATATATATTCTTTTGTAATTGGATCTTGTGATAATCCATAAATATGAATTATATCTTTTTTATCATGAAATTTTGTATAATTTTCGAACTGAAATAACAAATAAAACAATAATAATCAATATTATTTTAAAAAATTTGAAGTAAATAGAAAAATAAAATAATTTACCTCATTAAGATATTCATTAGAAATATTCTGTGAATTATGTAGTTTTTTTAATGCCACATCCCTATCTTTACCGATTTTTCCATTGCTATGTTTCTCACCATTTAACCAAGTAGCTTTGTATATAGTTGCAAACCCACCTTTACCTATCTGTTCAACACTTGTTAAATCATTATAAGGAATCCATTGAAGATAATAATAATTATCATAACTTGTTGCTTTAAGTTGTGTGCTTTTAATCAACTCATCTAATGTTTTATTGCCACTAGTCCATCCTTCAGTTAATATCTTTGGATCACATGATTGACACCATGCCTCACCAGTATTATATCCGTTGCAAGTTGGACATTTCCCATGCCTTTCATTCCTTTTTTTTGAATATTGATCATAATAATTTTGAAGACCTCCAACTTCCATGGAATCCATTACAAAGATATATTCTTTTGTAGCTGAATCTTGTGTTAATCCATAAATTTTATTTATAAATTCTTTACCATGAAATATAGCATAATTTCTGAACTAAAAAAATATATATTGAAATCCAAAACAATATTTAAAAATTTGAAATAAATAGAAAAATAAATAATTTATATACCTCATGAAGAAATTCATCAGAAATATCCTGTGAATTGCGTAGTTTTTTTAATGCCACATTCATATCTTTACTGGTTCTTTCATTATGATAGTTTGCAGTTTTCTCACCATTTAACCAAGTAGCTTTGTATATAGTTGCAAAACCACTTTCATCTATCTTTTCAATATTTGTTAAATCATTATAAGGAATCCATTGAAGATGATCACTATAATGATACTTGGTTGATTTAAGTTGTGTGCTTTTAATCAATTTATCCAATGTTTCATTGCCACTAGTCCATCCTTCAGTTAATAGTTTTGGATCACATGATTGGCACCATGCCTGTTTAGTATTATACCTATTGCAAATTGGACATTCTCCAGT